CATCTCAGAGGTTTTAAAAATCCACATTTTTCCTTGGGGGGTGGGGGCAGGCCCCAGATCCCCCTAGAGGGAACAAGCAAAGCTTGCACCATGAAAGAGCTTTGCTCATTCAGACTGCCTCTCCTGCTACTTCTTCCCATTCTCCTGCTACTCTAATTCTTAAATGAAAACCCTTGTTTTTGCTGTAGAATTACTAGTTCTGAGTTACATCTCTATTCGGGAATTAACAACAGAATACAAATTAATACAAGAGTAGAAGAAAATATTATTTTTGACATTCTTGGAAGGAGTGTCCTGAAGGGGGGGGTCCTAATCCCATTTTCCCAGCCAAAATGTTATTGAAATACCAGTTCAAATTCACAATCCCAGCCTATTTTTCTCAAATATAAATCCCATTCTCATTCTTTTATTGTTTTATTGTTTTTGTGTTTATGAATCCCACCCAGTTAGCTCAATGGATAGAGCTCTGGACTGTTGTGCGGGAGGTCGAGGGTTCGAGTCCCGGCCGGACCAACACTCAAGGTCTTAAAACAAGTGAGAAGAATATGCTACCTTTCTATAACATCAAGAAATGGTTAGATACTCTAGTCTTCTCGGATAGGGACGAATAAATGGAGGTCCCGTCTCCTGCAGGGCTAGGGGTAGGAGACGTTAATTTCCCACGCGCGAGATTACTGTGTGATGGATGTCCTCCCCTGGGGTGGTTTCTGGGTGGGAATTGGCCCTGTAAAGCCCCCATGAGGAGTGGTCAATTAACGTATGTATGTATGTAATAAAATCCCATTTCCCAGCCCCTAAAAATGGCCCCTTCAGGACCCTCTGGAAGTTTCATTTGCCTATTCTTTTTTCTCAAATGTAAAGCCATGGTTCACTTGGTTTTGGATCATTTTTGACGTCATTTCATGTTCGATTACATTACAGACCCATACTTGACGAACTAACTTCGATTTTTGACTCAGCGTTTGTCCTTTTACATAGGTTTTTTCCTCTTCATTTTAAGGTAGTTACTGGATCTACAGAATTCTTTAATGAATTTTTTTTTAAAGTCTTTCACTCGAAGTTCATTATTTGAGTATTCAAATACTCGAAGAAAAGGAGTGGTGTTCGAGCTATTAGGCATCAAAAAGGAAGGATTTTTCCGTTTTTCCGCGTGTCTTTGCAGGAAATGTACCTCATCTAATAAATTAAATTTATTCAGATCCATTTAAGAAAGAAAAATAGAAAATTATTGTAAACAAAAAATAGATATTGAGTTTCGAAAACATATCTAGATAAAAAGTCAATCCAATCTTTTGCAAGTAGTTTAAAAAGTAAATTCTAAAAGCAAAATTGCATTTTCACCCCTTTAATCAATCTTGTACCCACATCCTCTCCAGGGTACATTTCTGTAATGTGGCAGTTTGGACCTCCGTGGTAGAACTGTCCACATACGTCGTAACCAATAGGATTCGCTCTTACGTCAACCAATGATATTCCATGGTGATCAGGTCCTTGCCAAAAGTTCTCATAGGAGCCCCCAGGAATATATTTGTCAGGCACGTCTCACACTTCAACGACACGAGAAAGCTGTTTGGGTGCGTGCATATGTTTTTCCCTTTGTTTTACCATGGTTTTACTAGTACTTGAATCGTCAGAAGATCTCTTTTCGAATTGTTACCATGATTATTTTCTTCTCACCGATTGCACATTTATACAATCATGTTGTTAACTCGCGCTTTGCACGGGAGCTCAGAATGCAAGCGAGTGAAAAAACAAAGAAGCAAGTGGAAGGAAAATTAAACTTTGAAAAACACAAAAGTATCGCAGCCCGTACTCTTGCTTACGGAATTGATGCATTGAACTATAATTCATTCGACCGTTACATTTAGCAGGATAGTAAATGTAATATACCAGTCACGGATACAGCAAACTTTTTTCTTTTTTTCGAACCACCGATTTTTAAACGATAGACTTTTCTCTATCACGGCTTAGAAAATACCAAACCAAATCTGTTCAGAAGGCAGTCATATAGGAAGCCTGCTACAAATAATGTAGTAACTTCATAGCTTTCAAATTAGCTGTTCCCGTTTGGTTAACATCCTATCACGAACAAAAGGAAAGGTGTTTTATCTTCTACCTTGGGAGCTTGTTTACTACAAGGAATAAACTGATAAAAAGCACTATTATACTACACTATGTTGAACGTACAGTGGTTGTAAAATTAAATTGATTTTGGATGATAGTACTTGTGGAGAATGTTCTGACATGTGTAGAGTTTTCTGACATGTAATATGATATAACGGAGTGCAAACTTTATAACCGGAAAACCTCAGTAAACCGAAATTCCAATTCTATTTCTATGATTTTATTAGTACTTTTAAGTATAAATTACGAACTTTCTTTAAAATTGGAAAATACTGTTTTACAGGAAAATAAAATACTCGTATTACAGGACCGTAACCAGGGATTTTACCGGGATGGTGCATTTTTGCAATGACAGAACACTGCCACTGCTTATACCCAATTTCTATTATCTTTGGAAACAGCTATAATTGTAATGATCACGGATCAGCGGAACTTTTAGTTTCATGGGAAGGCGCACGTGCACTCTGTGCCCCCCTTACNATGTTCGTGGTATTT